GATATTAATAAGGAACCAGCAGATCAAGTAGCTTTTGGAATAAAACACCATTTTTTTTAAAATTAAACACTATCTAAAGATTTGCATCGAAGCGTTTATTTTTGATAGTGATTTTAATCACTGTCAGATATCATTTACTTGATCCAACTATGCCACGTCACCACTGTGCCGCGACCCCCCTGTGCTGGTTTTGTTTTTTCATTTTTTATATTTGGGTATACATTTGTTTAAGTCATTTGTTTCTTCTGTGTTGAGTATTACGAGTCATACGGGCCAACCATTATCGTAGGAGCCCGTTGGCTAACAATAACAATTTTGTATACCTGCGAATATTGATGTTATATGAATTGACATACAAGTTATAAAGGTTGATTCAAAAAATTAATTATTAACTGATAAATCCAGAAATGTATGTAATTAAAAAAAATAAATAATTATTTTTTCAATATTTTATTTATTTTGCGAGTAATTGACTGGTCTATGATAAAAAGATCCCTTTGTAAAATTGTGATACATAGTCCAAGTGTTAATAGTTGTATTACACCCCAAAATTTATTCTTAATTTATAAAAATTTGTTTTGATTCAATAATGCAGAATATTTTCGATTTTAAGAAAAAATATATCGGTGATTAGAAAAAGAAAATACTTATTTTTAAAAGACGGTAACATTTATATGTTGTTTATCTATTTCGCTAACAGTTAATACAAGAACGATAACAGTGTAAAGATAAAGATTCGTAAAATAAAAAATTGTTTTAAATAAAAAAAATATTTTTTCAATTTAATAAATCTGACGATAAAAAAAAATTGGTTGCATTACAAAAATCGAAANTGACGATAAAAAAAAATTGGTTGCATTACAAAAATCGAAAGTTAATAAAATTTTAGGGTGTAAGGGGTGATAGAAAAAAATAAATATATTACCTAAAGCAATTGAGAAATAATTATTTAAAAAAATAATATTGTGATTCGCTATAACATATTTCGTGAGGTATAGATGAGGAATCTCTCTGTATATATTATTTTTGTTAAATATTATTATTGTTCATTATTAAAAACAGTATACATTATTATGAAGATTTGGAAATGTTTTTTTCTATAAACATGTTTTTAAATGATTTTATTTAAAATCATAAACATAAATTATTATTTTTTATACAGATATACCATTACATTTTATCAAGGATGGTAAGAAACAAATAAAATATATTCTTTTTTTTCTTAGTTTGGGCATTTTTGAAGGAACTTTTACCTTATAAAAAATATATATTAAATAAAAGACCGAGTTTAATTGGGCTTCCTTAACATTAGTATGATAACCAAAAATGTCACATTGAGTGTTTAACTGTAGTCCTAGAACCTTGACAGCTAACTCATCTTTTACTTATAATGATGATTATTGAGCACGGCCATCAGACGACATACGGTTTAATAATTTTTTGTGAAAAAGGTTATCAATTTTTTTAATTGCCAATATCAAAAATAATATTTCTTCAAACAAATTAATATTTAGTTCAGGGGTCTTCATCCTTTTTTTGCAGCGGGCCTCATATTATTTTTTAATAATCTTGCGGGCCTCAATTGTAGTAGCATGTATTTTATACATGAATTCAGTTTTATTATTACAATTTAAATTAGTATTATTATTAAAACATATATAGATAAACATTTTTTTTAATTACAAATTTTTATTTTATTTTTAGTGTGATAACTGACATTGTTTTTCACTAACTAATTTGTTTATATTTGGTTGGATCTGAGACGATGCAATTGTGAGTGAATTTTCCAAGTGAATGTTAGTTAACCGAGCTCTAGTTTTAGATTTCACAATTTTCATTCGTGAAAAAATATGTTCACAAGTATATGTACTGCCAAAAATAGACATTATTCTTAATGCGTTGTTTCGAAGATTAGGATATGTCTCTGTGTCAATATATTTCGAATAAAAAATTGAAAGTTCAACATTATTGTACTTTTCTTTTAATATTTTATTGTTTTGTAAATCAATGATTTCCATTTGCATATTTTCTGGGACATCTTCAACTGATAATGAAAATGAAAATGAAAACAAATTAAAAAATTTTTCATTAGCTTTGAAATCTAAGAACCTCGAATCAAACTGTAGTTTTAAATTATAAATTGCTTCTGCGTATTTTTTCGTTGAAGTAACATTGTATTTTGACAAACATGGAAAGTGAGTTGTGTTATTTTTTTTTAGCTGGATTTCCCACAGCAGAAGTTTATGTTCGAAAGATTTAATATGAACAAATAAATTATGAACTAATTGGTTTTGACGTTGCAATCTTAAATTTAACTCATTCAAGTGCAATGTAATATCCGTGAGATAGGCAAAATCATTTTTCCATTCTGGATCATTGAGTTGTTCAAATATTTTCCCTTTACTTGCAGCAAATTCAAAAATTTCTTTTCTTAAATCAAAAACCCTTTTCAAGACTTTCCCTCTACTGAGCCAACGAACATCTGTAAAATAGATTACATCACCTGGTTCAGCGTCTATTTCACTTAGAAAGTTTTTAAATTCTCTATGATTCAATGCTCTTGATGTAATAAAATTTACTATTTTTACAACATCTTTTATAATAGTTTGAAAACCAACAGATTTCGCACATAAATTTTCTTGGTGGATAATGCAGTGATATTGTATCAGTTGTAATGCACCACATGCCCCCATTTCTTTTTTAATGAGCGCTATGAGCCCTTCATTTTTTCCAACCATTGATGGTGCTCCATCTGTTATAACTCCAGAAAGGTTATTTAATTTGATATCAAAACGGTTAAATGTCGATTTTAATGCATTAAAAATATCACAACTTTTTGTTGTGCCTTTCATCGGAAAAAGTGCAGCTAATTCTTCAGTAATATTAAAATTAGAATCGACACCCCGAACAAAAATTGCTAATTGAGCTGTATCTGACAAATCTATACTTTCGTCAAGGGCCAGCGAATAAAAAATAAATTTAGAAATTCGTTCTTTTAGGGTACTCTCAATATTAGTTCCAAGTTCTTCTATACGCCTTGCTATAGTTACACCTGATAAACTCAATTTGGAAAAAAGTTGTTTTTGTGCTGGACATAAAATTTCAGAGGCCGCTTCCATGCACTCTTTTATAAATTCATCATCAGTGAACGGCTTCGATTTAGCAGCAATTTTTTGTGCTATTATATAATTAGCTTTGACACTGGCTTCTGAGTCTTTATGAACTGTTTTTAAACTTAAAGACTGACCTTGTATATTTTTCATTAACAATGCAAGTTTGTCAATTCGAAGTTGTCCTTCTATTATATCATATTTTGCTGCATGTTTGGTACTATAATGTCGTTTTAAATTGTACTCTTTCATCACTGCAATCGATTCTTGACAAATCAAACATATTGCCTTTTCTTTAACTTGAATAAAAAAATAGTTATAGGACCATTTTTCTTGAAAAACACGACTTTCATCTGAGATTGTACGTTTTTTACTGACCGACATATTATACAAATATACAAGTATTATGCTCGTTCCACAACATAGGGTTCATTGGATGAAAAGTATAATGAGAACAAAATTTTTTGTTATAGATATTTAGCACTTATAATTTTATTTTATTTATATTTTTATAATAATGATTTTTTTAATAAACCACATTATAATGGGAGATGATAGATATAAAAACACCAATACATGTATGAAATATTAACTCAAATTAGTAGAATAATAGATTGCGCATAGGTCTATTCAAGTTTCCTTGACTAGCCAATGAGAAGGATTTTGCAATTAAAATATAAAATATTATGTCTCCCCCTCATAAAACAGGACTATAAAAGAGCAATTTCTAGCTCATTCGTGACCTTATTTTTTTCTAAAAATCTGGTCATGAAGCGTCTCTGCACCAGACTGTTTTGCGATTGTGATCTCTCGGACTTAGAAACCTTTTCACACTTGGTGTTTTTTTATCTAACTCTCTTATAAGTAATGTAATAAAAACAATAATAACTTAAACTTTTTATTTTAATTATTTTTTTAATTTTAAATTATTATGAATTATTAAGACAATTATTTTTTTATTTTGTATTTTGTGAGTTGTTCCAATCAAGAATTTTTTTAATTCTTCAATTGGCGTGTCTATTTAATAAGTGCATTTCGAAAATCTACCTTAGCACATCTAGAGGTTAAAACTATTCGTAAAACAATAGTTTATAACGTGTCACTAGGGATTGGCCATCATAATCTATCTGGTTCTATAAATTGTTACTTAAAAATATAAAAGAACATATATGTTTTAATACCAAGTATAGAAAGGAATTTAAGTGAAGTAATATCTTAAGTTTAACAATTTTAATAAGACCATAAAATAAATAAGTTAATTGAAAGTCAGTGTTTATATTCTTTTTTACAACAAACGATCAAGCTAGCTGGACACAAGGTAAGAAATTACATTTCTAAACATGTCATAAAAATTAAGGATAGACGTAAGATAAATCAAGAATAACTTTTATCGAGGGAATAATAGAATTGTTAAAGGTGGATAATTTGAAAAGTTATTAATAACTACTTTCTCACCATTCGGATCATAATAGTACGCGTTCAACGTAGATGTTTTAACTTGTATTATACATCTACATAAAGAAAATAATTCAGCCATTAAGGCTTGGCGCCCAACAATTGGACAGTAGCATTTTACATGAACACACGCTGTTTCCCATTCATATAGCATGACCAATAAATATTAAGAGTCGTAAAATCCTCCTTCATAATCATTGCACATTTCATTGTAGAATTAATATCACTCAGGTGTGCGTCATCCGAATATAATTTTCCTTCAATTTACTTTTTACGACAAACCACGTGTGGTGGTAGTATCTTAATAAAGAGTTCACGGATATATATATTTTATGCTTTATTTTCACCTTGTAGCTAAACGTACTTCAACAATCCGTTAACCATAACATCTATATATAACATCTATATTCTATTATTATTCCTCTTTCTTAATTATAAAAAAATATAAATATCACACATATGGCCAATTATTTTATTTCCTTCATCATCCTTTATTATATTAATTTCTCTTCATTATTTTTGTTATTATAATTAATATCCCTTTACTTTATTTACTTTTTTTATGACAATAGTTTTTTTATAATGTAGCAATATTAAAAATAGAGATTCCTATTTGTATACATTTATAATTTTTTCATTCATTGAGGAATGATCACACATTTCATAGTTTTCTTATTTAACTAAGTATTTTTTAGCTATTACATAATTAATACTGAGAATACCATCATAACATTATATGTTATAAGGAGCTATAAAATTAATGAGATCAAAATAAATAATAATAATAATTTTTATTTATTACTCTAATAAATAAATAATTTAATAATTTAAGAAAAATGACACGATCGAGAAATCTTTAAGTTTATTTTAAGCTTATTCAAAATAAATATTCAATGATTTTTCATATTTTAAAAATAAAATATATATCATAATATATGTCATTTATAATATTCTGTACAAAATTTCACTTCATTAGTTCATAATGATCATACTTACATTTTGTTGTTTTATAATACATACACCACTCATTATTAAGTAATCTATAAATCATTGTCTATTATTTGTCATCAAAATAAATATAATTATTCATGTCAATCTTTTAAAGTATTCCGAGAATCTAATGTAATGTAATACAAATCTAATGCAATAACTACAGTTTTCATTTATTCATTTATAATATACGCTTCTGTAATAATCTATTTTTATTTAATATCTAACAAACCTGTACAAATCATCTCTCCTCTGTACACTGTGGACCGTGCTCTGCTGTCAAGGAATATCAGGTAAGAGTAGTTTTAACATACTAACTAAAATAATAAGTAATAATGAATAAAATCCATTTAGAAATGTGGTCTAATATAAGCACAGGAGACCCTACACAGAAAAAAATATTATATTTGTTTTCCATATGTTGTATAATATTTTTAAAATTATATCATATGATATACCATATTTTTCATATTTTTTAGATAAAACTTGTCCTGTAACAAAATGTTTAGAAAGAGTTTATGTTGTAATGGTGGGTTGTCGTTGTCATTTATGTGAAATATGCGCTGATAAATCTTTAAAAAACCATATATGTTTAAATTGCTCTAGAAGAGTATCGTCTTGTAAGTAATATTAAATTATAATTGAAGGAAATAATTATTTCAGAAAAATTGTAAATTTTATGATATTCATTGATTTTAACTTGTTCATATGTACGTTTTTTTATGGAAAATCCAATATACGGGAAGTAATGACGTATAACTATATTATACGTACTACAACATATAACTACATTCAACATTTTTAAATTAAATGCACCAAATTCACTAATACACTTCAATGGTATTTTGAATCTTTTATATTTATTTTGATTATCATTTTGTAACTAAAAGTTAAAAAACACTTTTAATAAAATAGTTGTAAACATGTAAAAATACTTTTTGATGGCTTTAAAAAAAAAATGTTTAGCCTCTTTACTAAGCTGAAAAGGTATTAGTTTTATATGTGTGATTTTTTATGTGTTGTCCATAAAAATGCTTAGCTCTTACGGAACCAATTTTAATGATGAATTACGTAAATATTAAATAATCTTCAATATTAAAAAAAAAATTTTTCGATGAATACTTTTCTGTGAGAAATTAGAAGTCAAAGTAAAAGTAATCGAAATTTAAATAATAGTGGGACGATGATGCCGAGTCGGTAACGCGGCAGTGCTTGACGCACACTACCTCGGAATCACGGACGGCTACATTTACAGATTATTCTTCTGTGAGAAATTAGATGTCGAAGTAAAAGAAATCGCTATTTATATATATTTTTTTTAATTAAAACCTTAGATATTTTCCTTTTAATTGATATCATATTTTTGCAAATCTAATACTGAACCTCCTCACAAAAGGGGGTTTAAAATAGCAACTTTTTTACGAAAACTAACTTTTTCAACTAAATTTTTGAAAATGTTCCGGAAATACTGCGTCCTTTATACATATATCAAATTCAAGCTTATTTTATGTATTACAAAATGAAAAAAAAAATTGTTCTGACACTTTATCTTCTTCGTGCATGCGAACAACTCCCGTAGTTAAAAAAACGCTATTTTTGTGTTAAAATTTTCGACTTTCGATTTTAAATTTTCAACTTAAAAATGCTATTACTTTTCGAAAAATGTATGTATCAGCACAAATTTTTTTTTTTAAATACACAATAAGTACATATTTCATTTAACATACTTTTTATTAAAATTGGACAATTTCCCCTTATATAGGGGCGTTCAAAACTTGAAACATTGTTTAAAAAATAAAACTTTTTCAACTTAACTTTTGAAGATGTTCCAAAAATACTGCATCCTTTAAACATATATCAAATGAAAGCTTATGTTATGTACTATAAAATGAAAAATTTGTTCCAACGACCTATCTTCTATGCGCAAATGGCTACCGTATTCAAAAATATGCTATTTTTGTGTTAAAATCCTGGATTTTGTATTTTATTTTATTTTAAAATATCTTATAAGGCCAACACTGACTTTCATGAATAATAAAAAATTTAATGGACATAGAATAAATGTCATAAGACACAAGAAATTAAACTTATTAAATTTTTTTTACTTTTTTAAAGTCGAAAAAGTAATTTTTAAATTTGAGTTGTTTAATTTAAATGAGCTTAAATTGTCAATTTTATCATGCGATGAATCAACGATCAGTTGCGGAATGGGTAACACCTGTCTCTTCCCGCTTAGGGTACAAAGTTCAAACCCGTCTATGGCAATTAATATTTTGCATTTTTTTTGAGTTAGAATAAAATTTTCAAATCATTTGATATTTATCTCATTTAAATTCAATAACTTTAATAAATATAAAGGATCCTATCACTATAGTCTCCCTTCGTGAGAAGAAATTTATATTCTTGTCGAATTATATTTGATATTATATAATTTTACTTTGAAATTTATTAATTTTTTACTCTATTTGTGTGTGCTACTACCAGTCTATAATATTCCAAATTTTATTGTAACATGTTGCTATATAAATTAAAAATCTAAAAAAAAAATGATTTTTTTTTCACCTGAATTTAAGAATGAATGAAATAAAAAATTTACTGTAAATAGTAGTTATAAAATTTCCTGGTTGCATATTAATCTTAAGAATACCATTTTTCTATTTAATGATGTCATTTTCAAACTTGCAAATTGAGCTTAAAAAGTAATGGAAATAAATTCATTTTTTTTTTTTATTATAAACTTTCACTGTAAAAGACAAAAAAAATAGGTTAAAAATTATTACTTTTAACATATTTTAAATTAATAATAATTGGAAACCAACTAAGTATAAAAATTATGTAATATATAAGTAAAAGAATTACTAATCTGGAAATAATTAAGGAAATAGACGTTAATGTTGCTTTTGTAATTATCCACCAATTTCTTAGAATTGAACACTATTTACAGATTTGCATCGAAGCGTTTCTTATGATAGTGATTTTAATCAGTGTCAGATTAAATCTATACTGGACCCAACTATACCACGTCCCCACTATGCTGCGATCCCACTGTTGTGGGTTTTTTAGTTTTTATAAACTAAATTTATTTTTTACTTTTTAGTTTTTTATGATATCGCTGTCACAATAGGGTGGCTCTTATTTTTCAAAGTTTTTTTTTTGACCGGACGCCCCCTAAAATTGTTCTATAAGTTAAAAAAATACATTTTGTGAAGTTTCGTGATTGTCCAAAGATTTTTTCACGTACCGCAGAAGGGTTGAAATTTAATAAATTGGGGCAAAAATTAGTTTTTTACGTATAACTTGTTTAATTTTACTTAAATCAAAAAAATTTACTCAATAAAATTTGTTTAGAAATGTATTTCCTATAAAATATATTATATTATTTTTTACTCTATATTGCATATTTAATTGAATAATCAATAAAACACATAAATACGCCGTTCTTTCCCGATTCTAATTTTTTGCGAAATTCGNCCTTTTTTCCCGATTCTAATTTTTTGCGTAATTCAGTTTTTATTAGCGTAATCGACAAATTTTTACAAAATCTATATAATTTATAAAATTTAGATTTGAAAATTATGTACAAATATTGTTTAGTAAAATATTTTCTAATTCTAAATCTTGGTCTTATAACATACAACTGATTAAAAAATATAATATAAAACTAATAAATAATAAAAATAAAGTTTAATTATAAAAAAAACGCAACTAAAAAAATATTATAGAAATTTATTATCAATTATTATTAAATAATCATCATTATTTCATTAATGTTTTTTTTTTGCATCAGGAAAATGTTTTCTATAATCTGCGACAACTTGAAGCAAGTATTGCTTTTGGTCTTCTTTTTTAGTAATTATCGAGTTATACTCTTCAATTAATTTCACTGATCTTTCTGCAGTATCGTTTACAACTTTTAAACTTCGCACTATTTCTTGACAGTCTAAATAATCTATATTTAAATTCCATCGTTCGGGATCTTCGCTTAAAAAACTAGTTTTCATATCAAAACGTTTAAAAAAATTTTTTGAGTTTTCATTAATGAACTTGTCAAAAGTTTTATTTACAAAATGTTTCATATTTCTTGGCGGATTAATTTTTTTTAAGTCTTCACATTCATTAGTTTGTAATGATTTTACCATAAGTCTTTTTATTTCAACAGGTATTTGATCATCAAAAAATGCCATTGAGGCATTTTCAGGCGCGAGATACCATAAGTGGTTGCTAAATTTCTTAAGTGCTATTAAACCTACGGCATCGTCAATTTTTATGTATTCATAAAGATTTTTCATGCATTCTAAGTCCATACGAGGAGCTTCAATAGAATTATTTGCAGAAAACCAGTATTTTAAATAAATTCTTACTAAAAATATACAAACATCACGAACACTAACCCGTTCGTCATTTGTTAGCTCGAAAGACTCTCAAAAAAGAAAAATTTTTAAACAATAAATGGCTTTTGCCATCTATCTGGCATGATGATAAGCTCCAGGAGATCTAATAGAAATATTTGTATAATGATCACCGCCAAGAAAAATAATTGCCAAATTAAGAAGTTCTCTATAGTCTTCTCTTGGTTGATTAATTTTTATTTTTTCCATTAGAAACGAAATTAATTCATTTTCTAAGCCGTTTAATTGTGTTTTAACCGTAATATCTTCTAAACCTGGATTTATTGTACAGTCTTTAATCTGAGGCCAACTTTTTTGAAATTTTTTAAACGATGGTATATTTGGTCCACTAGATAAAGTAGTTTTTTGATCAATTACACTTCTTAAAACTATTTCAAATATGTGGTGCCTACATGGTAAGTATAAAAGGTCCCTTTCGAGGTATTGCTCTAAAATAATACAAGCACCTTGTTATCTCCCCATATTAGAGGCTGTTGTGTCGCAACAAATAGCCTGAACTTTATTTTCAATATCCCATTCTACTAATAAACTATGAATTGCTGAAGCTTGTTCTCTTCCTGTACTTGATTTAATAAAAGAAACGCCAAGAAGTTGCTCATTACCATTGAAACTTATAAGTATAGGCAGCCTATCAATTTTTACATTACTAGTTAGTGATGGCAATAATTTGCTATCGAAATGAACAGTAACTGATCTAATATTCTTTTCATGAAACTTCTCAAAAATTTTTTGTGCGTGTTCGGTCGTGTTAATTCATGTTTTTCCTGTAAGTATAAGTTATAATCTGAACTAGCCATGCAACCTTTTCTTTCCTTATCTCGTTGACACATCAAAAATAATTTATCTTCTTCAATAGTCATCATTTCCATGTGAAATATTGAACAATTCGTTAAATTTTCCACTGAAATCCTTTACCTTATTTTCGTGGTTCAACGATGTCCTTTTAGAGCTTTTGTTCAAATTTCTCCATTCTGAATATAGTGACTCCAATTTGTCGATGCTCCTTTGAAATTTTTTGACTAGTATTCTTGCTTTCTCCCAGAATACTTCAACTTCTTTAATAACCAAATGAGCACTGGTTCACAAGTTAAATTTTACTTTTCTCATATTGTAAAAGAGTACCCTTAATACTTGAATATTTGATGGCAACTTTGATCCGACAATTTGATTTTCATTATAATTAATTAAGTAAATTTTGTCCATTGATCTAG